ATGACAAACCTACAGCCAACATCATACTCAATGGGCAAAAACTAAAAGCATTTCCCCTAAGAACAACAACAAAACAGTGATGTCAGCTTTCACCACTCTCATTCAACACTAGAGGCCCAATGCATGAAATTCCTGCAAGGGGCTCAGCCTTCGCAGCCCCAGCTTTATCTGGAAGGTCATCCAGAAGGACATACGAAGGTCATTTGGTTTTCCAGTCTAATTAGCATATTACTCTTTTATTATTATAGATAGTACTGGAAGCCTTAGCCACAGCAATCAGACAAGAAGAAAGCAAAAAAGGCATCCAAATTCCAAAGGAGTTAGTAAAACTGTCATTATTCACAAATGACATGATATTGTACATAGAAAATCCTAAAGACTCCACCAAAATACTACTAGATTTAATAAATGAATTTAGAAATGTAGGAGGATACAAAATTATCAACCAGAAATCCATGGCATTTTTATATAACAATATTGAAATCTCAGAAAGAGAAAATAAACAAACAATCCCATTTACCATTGCAGCAAAAAAAATTAAGATACTTAGGAATAAACTTAACCAAGGAGGTAAAAGACCTGTGCTCACAAACTATAGCACGCTAATAAAAAGAGATAGAGGAAGATGTAAACAAGAGGAGGAATATACCGTGTGCATGGATTGGTAGAATTAACATCATGTCCATACTACCCAAAGCAATCTGTAGATTCCATTTAATCCCTATTAAAATACTAACTGCATATTTCATAGATATAGAACAAATGATAAAAATATTCATGTGGAACCAAAAAAAGATTGCTAATGGCTGTAGCCATCTTCAGAAAGAAGATGTTGGTGGGATCACAATACTGCATATCAAGTTCTACTACAAAACCACTGTAATCCAATCTGCTTTGTACTGGCACAGAACAGGCATATAGATAAATGGAACAGAGCAGAGAACCCAGAAATGGACCCAAGCCATTATGCTCAGTTAATATTTGACAAAGGAGACAAGAACATACAATGGAGTCAAAAGAGTCTCATCAATAAATGATGTTTGAAAAAATGGACAAGTACATGCAAAAAATGAAGCTAGACCACCAACTTACACCATACACATGAATAAACTCAGAATGATCAAAGACCTAAATGTAAATTGTGAAACCATAAAAATCTAGTAGAAAATATACAGGCAAAATCTCAGACATCACACGTAGCACAATTTTCACAGATACATGGCCTAGGGTAAGAGGAACAAAGGAAAAATTACCCAAATGAGACTAGAGTAAATTTAAAACCTTCTGTACATCAAAAGAAACACGTATCAAAATGAAAAGTGAACCCATATTATGGGAGAACAATATATCTGATAAGGGGTTAATTTCCAAAACATATAAAGTACTCATACAACTCAACAAAAGGAAGACAAAGAACCCCATTAAAAAATGGACAGAGGACCTGAGTAGGTACTTCTCCAAAGAAGACATACAAATGACCAAGAGACATATGTAAAAATGCTCAGCAGTAACTCATTATCAGAGACATGCAAATTAAAATGGCAATGAGTTGTCACCTCACACCTGCCAGAATGGCTAACATTAACAGGTCCCAGTCCTAAACCAGACCCTCACCCCAGGGTTCCAGAGCTGGGAAGACAGGTCCTGGTAACTTCAGGCTGTATAAACCAGGGAGGATTGTGGCTGAGTGACATGGGGCTGCTGGAGACCCAGATATTGCTCTTAAAGGGCCAGTGCACAAACTTACTCAGACTCGATCCCTCAGGCTTCAGACTTTGTTAAAATCTCTGAAAAAAAGCAGCAGCTGCCATCAGCATGCCCCAAACCTTCAATAAAAAGCCTAAGAATCACTAGTAGCACCAGCCTGCCTTACTTCAGGGCTGGGCCTCGCCTGGGTACTTCACAAGTCCAGTACAGATAACAGCCATCTACAGTCTTTGCAGTATGCAAAGCAGCTATCCCTCTTCTAGAAATTTTCTTAATTGAAATAAAAACGTAGATTTGTATGTGAATGCTTCCTTATTATAATATTCATAATATTTCACACTGGAAGCACCCAAATGTTCTTCAACTGGTGAATGAATAAACAAATCTTGGTATATGCATACTGTTGTGGGTTAAATTGTGCCCCCTAAAAGTATATGTTAGAGTTTTTATACCTGAAACCTCAAAATGTGTTATTTGAAAATAGGTCCTTTGGAGATATACCATAATTTGTTCAGATGGGGTCATACTGGAAAATGAATACAACAAGCTCACTCACTTCTTCACCATCGAAAACAGAAAATCAGGAAATCTTCTTCCTGTGTGGCACCAATACCTATCTCTGTCTCCAGGTAAACTGACCTGGGACCTGTACCCTAATTTATCTTGCCCTGGAAATAGACATTGCCCCTAATAGTCCTTTGAGGTTCCTCTCACCACTTACACATGGACCACGAGAGACATCGTCATCCTTCCTCTCCTTGTTGGCCTAGGAATAGCTACAGGTCTAGGCACTGAGGGACTGGCAGTCTCCCTTTCCTGCTATCAGAGCCTATCCAAAGATCTTGCAGATAGCCTAGAGGAAATTTCCCAAAATGTTGTCTCGGTCCAGGACAAGACAGATTCATTGGAAGCAGCTACCCTCCAAAATCAGAGAGGACTTGACCTCCTCACAACTGAGAAAGGGGGGCTATGCCTATTCATAGAGCAGCGGTTCTCAACCTGTGGGTCGCAA